ATTATCATTTTAATTCATGAAATTAAAGAAATAAATATAAAACTTACAGCATGATGGATTTGATTATTTACGATGAAAGCCTGAGAGAATTAAGGTTATTAGCTTGATGAGAGGTTCTGAATGTGAGATAGACCAATTTGTCAAAGTTTCAAGAGCAGATCTTGGGGAAAAATGGACATGGAAAAGGAAAGAGAAAGTATGAGCCATGTATGAAAAAGCATTAGTAGATTAAAATATTAAGATAACGAATGGAAAGTAGAAGCTCCTTGAAATAGAGAGAAAAAATGGAGGAAGAGCCACAGCAAGCACAAACAAACACAACAGTCAGATAAGAGAAATCTTGAAGACCAAAGTTATGAATACTAAAACTACTTTTATTATAGGGTTATGGTTACTGTTTTATTATAGGGCAGTGTTTCTCAACCTTGTCAACTTTAAGATGTGTGGACTTCAACTCCCAGAATTCCCCAATACTGTTTTATTATAGGGCAGTGTTTCTCAACCTTGTCAACTTTAAGATGTGTGGACTTCAACTCCCAGAATTCCCCAACCAGCATGCTGGCTGGGGAATTCTGAGCGTTGAAGTCCATACATCTTAAAGCTGACAAGGTTGAGAGACACTGTTATAAGGTTACAGTAACAGAATCTTACAACCCTAAATGTGTGTCCCCCTCCCTGCCTTTATCCTAAAGAGAACTAGGGAGAGTCAAGTCTGAGATGCTTTCACAAATCACATTCCTGCTTTGGATTGGCCATTGCTTGCCTGTGACTCTTCCTCCTGTTCTTCATGGTTATTCTCGCAGCCCATTGCAATGATGGAATAAAGCCTCTGTGAGAATAAATGGAATTCTTAGTGAATGGTTCAAACTGAGAAAGGAGTGAGGCAAGAATAAGTGATATCCCTTTAATTTATTTATGAATGAATATAGATGGAGTACTGGGGGGAATTTGAATGAATGTGTACTTTTATGTGCAGATGATGCCATGTCATTGGCTGATAACCCAAATGATTTGAAGTGAATGATAGATTGTTTGATTAAGTAAGGAGTATGGATTTGAAAATTAATTATCAAAGAAGAAGGTACCGTGTTTGATGGGGAAATGTAGTAAACAATTGCAAGTTATACAGAAATGACCCAAAAAACCCCAAACCCTCTAGAGCAAGTAAGTACATTTGCTAACAATGGGAAAATGGATGGAGAAATTTTAAGATAAGGCTGCAAGTATAGATGGTGGTAAGAAAGTAGCAAATAGCATGTGGCTTATTGTGAGGAATTAAAGTATATTGAAGGAAATTTAAATGGCTGTGTATAAGAGCATGCTTCTGCCTAATTTGTTATAGGGAAATGAGAGTTGGATATGTAAGGAGAAAAATAAAAATAATTTGAGTGCAGTAAGAAAGTGTAGATGGTGAAACAAAAAGAGATAGACTTAAGAATGAATGGCCAAATAAATATGGATTATATTTTTTAAAAAAGTGAAGAGTTTACTCATATAGAAAGGATGAATGAAAATGGACTTGCAAAACAAGTAAGAAGCAAGAGTGAATGGGTCAAGAGGAAGGGGAAGACTGAGGAAATGAGCTGAGAAGGTAATATATGAAACCATGTATGAGCATAGTCAAAATAAAGGTGGTTGGATGATATGAAGAGGTGTAGTACATTAGTTCTAGCTGTGTTTCCTTTCCCTTTAATTTTTTGGATTAAAGAGGATCATAACTTCAAAATTCATATTTCTAGTTACCAGAGATCTTCAAATAATAATGCTTTGTATAACACCATAGGGTTGGGGGTGGGGGGAAACAAGGTGTAATATAAGTAAACCATTATATTTTGGACATCTGTAGTAATTACAAATATTTAAGTAGCAATTGTTTTATTGAATTCTTTCTAACTATTTGCCACAAAACAAAATGATAGGAGTTGTAATTCATCACATTTGGGAGACATCCCACTGGGGAAGGCAACTGAATGATGTATATAATTTTATATAATGGTTATTTTAATATTGCTTATTATGCAGTTGGGTTCACAGTGAAGTAATCTGTTCTGTGACAACTTGCAAGCTGCACATATAACAATGTGGGACAAATGGTGTGTAAACTTAATACACTTACATAAAATAAAAGCAAAAGAATTGTTAACCAAAGACAGAACTTTGGGATGCTGGAATAAAATCAGATAATACTACTAAAATCAAATCTAAACATTACAATCAATGAACGAAATATATCACAAAATAACACCCACACCCACACACGCTAATATAGTATTCCAAAAACAGCTTATAAAGCCTTTTAAGGGAAGGCCATAAAAATTAATGTGCCTTTAGGACATGTAATGTGTGACAGTGTCATACATGTGAAATCACTGGGCGTGTGTGTATATGTGAGACGTCAACTTCCTGTCATATGTTCACAGCAATATACTTATGTAGAGGATCATCATGTTCTGCACTCTACATGTGTAAAGAGATATTTTAGAATGAGCTAAATGCTTCTGTGTTTATGGGTGTATGTGTGTTTTACTATTATTTCTTTGAGTGCCAATCCCTTGAGAGATTCTGTACCTGCTTTGAAAATTCTCATATGTTCCAGAGAGGCATGAGAGACTGGAAGCACAATTTAAACAGATAACTAATTGTATAAGATTTTTTTAAATGGCTGTTAGTAATCTTTGTGTTAGGTGAACTGCATTAAAATTTCATTTAATAATGCTCAGCTTTATCTTTAGTCAGTAGATATAAGCAGAAACTCAAAGATGAATTGGGCCGAGATACAAAGTTCATCATGTCATATGCCCAAAAGGAGGACATGTTGCTTGAGGAAACATATTCTGCCAACATTATGGAGTTTATCAATCACAAAAACGAGAAACTCAGTAATGTGGATGCCTTAGAAGATCTGCTTGCTGACAATATTGGCCTGATCAATGAAAATGGAGAGACCATCTATATCTTTGGGGATGCTGGAATTGGAAAGTCCATAATACTGCAAAAGATGCAAAATCTGTGGTCCAAGAATGCCTTTGACATAGGGGCCAAATTCTTTTTCCGTTTCCGATGCCGGATGTTCAGCTGCTTTAAGCAGGAAGAAGCCATTTGTTTAAAAGACCTTCTCTTCAAGTATAACTGTTTCCCAGATCAGGATCTAGAGGAGGTTTTCAACTTTATTGTAAAATTTCCTCATACAGTCTTGTTCACATTTGATGGCTTTGATGAGATTCATTCTGATTTTGATGTCAGTAGTGTTCCTGAAGTCTGCTCTCCCACTGAATCTATCCACCCTCTTGCTCTGCTGGTGGGCCTCCTCAGTGGAAAACTTCTGAAGGGATCTAGGAAAATTTTGACAGCCAGGACAGGGACGGAAATTGATAAAAACATTGTCCGGAAGAAAGTACATCTCCGAGGGTTTTCCGATAGTAACTTGAAAGACTATACTAAAATGTTCTTCAAAGATGAAGGGTGTCGGACTTTGGTTTTGAACCAACTGGAAGCCAACCCAAATCTAAGCAGTTTATGCTCGGTGCCATTATTTTGCTGGATTATCTTCAAATGCTTTGAACATTTCCACTCTGCATTTGATAGCCATGAGCTCCCAGACTTTACTGTCACTCTAACGGATATTTTCTTGCTCATGACTGAAGTCCACCTGAACCGCATGCAGAAGACAAATTTGCTAAAGAAGAACAACAGAAGCCAAGAAGAGACATACAGGTCCAATAAAGAGAAATTGTTTGCACTCAGTAAAATAGCCTACTTGGGGATGCAGAAGTCTCTTTTTATCTTTGAGCAAGAGGAAGTCCTCATTAACCTCCCTGAGCAGGACTTACATTTAGGTTTTCTCAGGGCAGTTCCTAGTTATCGGGGCAATGTAGACCAATCTGCCTATGAATTCTTGCACTTGACCTTGCAGTCATTTTTCACAGCTTTTTTCCTGGTGACTGACGAGAAAGTGGGGTCCAAAGACATGCTGCAGTTCTTTGCTGAATGCTCCATGCAAGACACCACCCTGTCTTCCTGCTTCCCTCTTGCCTGGTTGAAAAATTACCACCCAACAGGAGTGGATCTTTTCCGAAATAAAGAACACTTTCATTTTACTAATCTCTTCCTGTGTGGCTTGCTTTCCAAGGCAAGGCAGAAGCTCTTGAGGCATCTGGTTCCTCTGACCACAGTCAAGAAGAAAAGGAAGATTCTTCTTGACTATTTTTTTGAAAGCATGAAGTCTCATCTGAAGGGTCTCTCTCGGGCAAGGCTGAAGGAATACAAACAGGTGCAAGTAATGCCAAACTTTATTTGGATGCTGAGATGCATCTATGAGACTCAGAATGAGAAAGTTGGCAAGGGGGTTGCCAAAAGCATGCGTGCCAATTACATCAAGCTGACATACTGCAATGCTTACTCTGCTGACTGTAGTGCCATCTCCTTTGTTATGCATCATTTCCAGAAGCGCTTGGCCCTTGATCTGGACAATAACAACATCAACGATTATGGGATCAAGCAGCTGCAGCCTTGCTTTAGCCATCTGGCAGTACTCAGGTACAGTAGCATAATGATCTGATAGGAACTGACACCAGGAAAGAAGCTCCTTCACCTTGAAAGAATCAAGAAGACTTTTTTGCCAAATATCCTGGGTAAAATTATTAGTTTGAGGAGGAGGGAGGAGGATTTGAAGCCCATCTTTCCCTCCTTCCTTCTCTCACCCACACAGTGCTGGTAGAATTGTCCTTTAGGGTTTCTTAAAATATTACTTGTAGGAATTATAGTCAGTTTGTTTCTTTTAGAGATTGGTTTATTTATTAGTTTATTTATGGATAAACTGCTTCAGTTAGTAGATGCCATTTTGTTCTGTATCTTTCAAACACTGATTGATGGTATTGCAAAGAAAGCTAAAGAAAATCTACTGGTGCCTCTTCAAATTAAGAGGATCATACTCCCACCCCCCATATATGGTGCTGTGAGCCAGCTATTTTCTCACATGTCTCTCTTTCACTTTAGGGTGAGCGTGAACCAGATCACAGATCAAGGTGTAAGAGTGCTTTATGAGGAGTTGTCCAAATTCAAAATTGTGACTTATTTGGGGTATGTACAGAGGACGAGCTCAAATAGTCATTGTGTGTTCCCATGACCAAGGGAAGTACTGTGAAAGTGTGGTGATTTTCACATATTCCTAGATCATTGCCAGATCACTTGATCCATTGGTTGATTGCTACTCAACACACATTTAGTGCAGCATCGTGCAGTTATTGAATGGGGATGGATTGAAGAGCACCGGGAAAACTAGACAGTGGTGGGGTGAAGGAGTCCAATGCCTGACTCACTATGTGCTAATTGACCCATTCAATTTTTGTCAGCAGAGGTTGAATTTCAATTCCCAGAAACCCCACCCAGCATATCAAACTGATAGAAGAGAATATATGTAGCTCAGGGTTGAACTGTGGGGTCCTTGGTGCTCCCTGAGCTTGGTTGTTTGTTTGCAGACATTTCATTACCCGACTAGGTAACATCATCAGTGCTAGCAAGTGTGGGGCTTGCTCCCTGTTTATATACAGTAAATTGCCCTATAATAAAATATAAACAAGGAGCAAACCCCACACTCACTAGCACTGATGATGTTACCTAGTCAGGTAATGAAACATCAAATAGGGAGCAAACCCCACACTCACTAGCACTGATGATGTTACCTAGTCAGGTAATGAAACATCAAATAGGGAGCAAACCCCACACTCACTAGCACTGATGATGTTACCTAGTCAGGTAATGAAACATCTGCAAACAAACAACCGAGCTCAGAGAGCACCAAGGACTCCACATATCAAACTGACCTCGTGGACAACAGGTAGGATGAGCTGGATTCAGGATGCTCTTTGGATTATATGGAATACCCTTTCAGTTTGATCTCTATCGATTCTGTGATGTGAATGCAAACAATCAGTAGAAAGGAGACCTAAACTGGTTTGCTGAAAGAGCCCCACACAGAACTGCGTGTGGCCACAGCTTCCTGTGTGCAGGAAGTTGTTACTTTCTGTCCCTTCTCTGCCAGTCCCCAGCACAAATTATATGTGTTGCTATTAATAATATTACCAGGGGCATCTACGGAGAGGGTCAGAAAAGTCAAGTTGGGGGCCACAACTGTGTGATTGAAGTCCTGTGTCTTTTTTATGCACAACACACCAAAAAAGGAGGTGGCACTTTGATTGCAGAGTTGTGTCCACCTTTATTTTGACACCGCACCCCACACTGCAAATGCTCCTGGATGTCATTATTAATGAGTAAATAAAATTGTCTTAAGAGAAAATGTTTTAAAAGGAAGCTATCTACCTCCCACCTGGTAATTTCCGTTTTAATAGTGCAAACCTATATTTGTCCACTTAGAAGAAACTGCATTGAATTTAGTGGGGATTACCCTAAAGTCATACTTTCCAATCCAGAAAGCAGCATATGCATCAAAAACTACTGCATGAGCAACAATCCCATAACAAATTACAAGAGGTCTGAAACTATGTGGAAATGCTGGTTTAAATTTTATAGATTCTTGTGAAAAAGAAACAGGCTTCTATCCCAAGTAGCTTACAATTGGGAAAAATCTCACATGTATTTGATGTAATAAACGTATTTAGTTAATTCCCTAACTACTTCTATTCCCTCCAAAGCTTGTACAACAATCAGATTACAGATATTGGAGCAAAGTATGTGGCAAGACTCATTGAGGAATGTCCAAGTCTCATCTATGTTAAGTAAGTATCTGTCCCACCCCTATACCACCTTAGCTCCCAAGTGATTAAGCCTTCACTTGGAACGCACACTATCCCCTCAACCACCCCAAGATTTTCCCATATAATCCTGCTGTATGTGAGGGCTATCTCTCTCTGAGTTTTGGAGCAGCACAACCATGCAATATGCAGAACCTCTTACACGGTGGGTCTCCTTTGCATTACTCTACCAGCAGCTGCCATGATGGAGTAAGAGAAGGGTGGGCATGTTTGAATCTGGGAGTGGCTGCTTTCTTAGTGAAAAGTACCTCTGAGTTACCCAGTGTGATTCTCATGAACACCAGTGTGCCTGTATATACCGGCCTTGGCACCCACCTGCTCCCAGCCCCCATCTGACTTTTTAAAAACAAATGTTAGATTCTCTTAATTAAAAATAATAATAAATGAAAAACGGCATGCTGCAGTCATCTGGTCCCTAGAAACATGGCAGGGTGTATATATATTGGTGTTTTGTCTAGAGCAGTATCTGCCAGCCTAGAAGAAAAAGTGGGGGGGATAGTAAATATTTGGGGTGGGGTGAGGAGATCAGTGAAGGGAAACATATTTGGCTAAATGGGTCTTCTCTGACCGGTTGTGCCCATCATGGTAAAACATTACATGAAAGGGCAAATCTTCCTGTAGCAGCCATTTTTTGAGAGCATCCATTATATACCTTGAAAATCCTGAAAAACTTTGAGGATCCTAGCCTGTTGCAGTTTTCATTGGGTTGGATTGAGATTAAATTATCACAGTAGAATCCAGTAGGGGAGACACATCAAGTTTTGTCCCACTGACTTTAGCTGGAACTTGGAGGGTAGTTCTCATTCCAAGATCCTCTGGCTAGAGAGGACTTGGATGGAATGGAAATGCTCAACAACTAGGGCTGAGACACCAACACGTAAGGTGCATCTCCTTGGCAGCCTTAGTTGGAAAAGACTTTTGATTAGATTAATTGCTGATAATGCTTCTAGCAGAAGGTCCCCAAAATGGTAGATAGTGAGGCAGTTCAGGAGTGGCCTTGGATTTGCTAAATCCAAGCCACACCACTATTTTATGACATCCCAAATTTGAGGATTATTTGTGTAAATTTGAGTAACAGAAAAGCATCCCTGAAGAATTCTCTAGCAGTCCCACTCTGTGTCTGTCATGAATTGGCAGGGCTTTGTAAGTGGCAGAATCAGCCACTTCATATATCCTAATTTAAGAATGTTCTTCCCGTATGAATGTTTCCTATAATTATTTTTAGGGTTGTAATTTTGGCTAGGATTCTTCAGCTTTAGAAACTCTGTTTCCATGCAAGCACATTAGTGCAAGGAAGAATTTAAAAAGGCCTTGTCAATATTTTAATTGCTGTTTTTTTAGAAGGATGAGCAATCTCTTCTGCCCATTAGATTACAATTTAATTTACACATTCTGAAAAATCTCCAAGATTCAACTTCTGTGAGTTTGTGCAATGTGCATATCAGTTAAAAGTAGATGATAAGGCCACTTAAAAGTCTTCAATTAGTTGATAAAGCAGCCATTGTTTCTTCATTCATGGGCTTTTATGCTGTAGTATATTAATGGTAAAATTATTAGCATTCCTGTAATAAATGATTCAGTTCTAGGAAGATTTCCCAGTTCCTGAAAAAGAATGGATCACAGAATATATGTATCTACTTTTCATTCAAAAAGTGGTGATGCATTTTTTAAAATGTTCATGTTTTCAGAAGCATTAGAGACAATTTGAACAAGCATAATTGTATAGTATTTCAACTATATTTTACAAATGGTAAAATTTATAAAATAATTCTTGTTATTAGTAAGCAACAAAACAATACAGTGGAACCTCGGTTTACGAACTTAATTCGTTCCGTGACTCTGGTCACACACCGAATTGGTTGCAACCTGAAGGAAATTTCCCCATAAGGTTCAATGTAATTACCGTTAATCTGTTCTGGCGT